CAACAAAAAAAACCGAGAAGATTGGAGCAGAGAAACGGAAGAAAAAATTAATTTTCTTAGTAGGAAAAATTTTGTGTTGAGAAAAAAAAAGACAAGGACAGGTGGAGGAAGGTGTATCAACAATAGCAAAGAGAGTGAGAGGAGAGATATGGGTGTCTGCATCGCCCCTGCTAGAACTGTCTTCGCCGGAAGGAGAAAACCAGGGGATTCTTCTTTGAGTAAGGGTGGAGCCTTGGCGAGGGCAAGCGACGCAAATAGTAATGCAGCCATTTTGGAAGAAGTTTTGCGCAAAAGGGGGTTGTCCCTCTCGGGAGGAGAAGCAGCTGCCAAGCTGTTTAGTCTGTGGGACGAGCTCTGCCGGAGCCGACATGCACCTCTCTTTACCGCCCATCCCGAGTTGCTCTTTTCCAATCGAGCGGCAGTCATGTGCACTGGGGAGTTCATGGAAGGGGAGGCTGTGGGAAACTACCGCGTGGAGAGGGCACTTCCGACAGGGACTGTGGGTCGTAGCTTCCTCGTTAGTGCCACTGGGAAGGATTGGCAGGTTGTGGCCCCATCGAAGCTAAACAGCCCCACCAAGAGGCGTGTCAAATGTGTTTTCAAAGTGGTAACGTTTATTACACGCACAGATCTCGTAGATTCTGTGGTGAAGGATCATAGAGCTCTCACCAAGTTGAGCCATGAAAACGTGCTCCACAGTGTGGATATGCTTGATGACGGGAGAGGAGAAACACTCATCTTCGTGACACCATTCCTTGAAAGGGCTTCTTGTGATCATCTTGTGACAGAGTTCGAGAGCGAGGAGAAGTTGCTTCTTGTTTTACACGATATTGGTGTTGGTCTTCGCGTCCTCCACTCCCACAGAATATACCACCGTAACCTGAAGTTGGACAACGTGCTCATTAGGGGTAATGGTTCGGCCTGCATAGCTGACGCAGGTTTCGCACACATTTTTGCCGCGCAACGCTCTGAGGATCTTGTGTTTAATGGTGAGGTGGCATGCATGCCACCGGAGGTGTTTGTAAGGAACGATAACGGAGCCACGGATGCTGCAAAGGCGGATATCTGGGGCTTTGGAGTGCTGATGTATCGTCTTGTGTATCATCGAGAGCCGTTTGACATAGAGGGCAAGACCTACGAGGAGGTGCGCCAGTGTATACTGTACACGCCTATTGAGTTCCCAGAGCTGCGCTGGCCATTTGCAAACGAACTCAAGGAAGCTATTCAGTGGTGCTTAGACCGAGATCCAGCAAATCGGCCCACCATCATACGCTTGCTGCGTCACTCTTTCTTCCGGAACTGTATGGCGCAGAGTATCAGCGCGGGAAGTACACATCTTGGCACCGCTGGAGTCTCTGGAACAGGTGTGTGCAAAAATAGTGCAAAAGTTGCAAGCGGTGCTGTGGAAGCGGCATTCGCACGGAATCAATGGTGTAACAGTGTGGTGATATGCGCCACACTTGGGAAAGGGCATAACTGCGAAACGCTTCTCGTTCATCAGCGTCGTAACGCATCGAAAAAGTTCGTTGTAAAAGCATTGAGGCATTCTATACTAAAGAAGATTGAGAAGTCGCAAGATTCAAACACGATACGTCATGCGTTAGTCGTCTGCTGTGAGATCCGTCACATTTCTTTGCTACCTTTCATGGAGATTGTGGACGGCAGAGATGGGTGCTTCGTCTCGCAACCATATGTGGAGGCAGAATTTCTCAACAAGCATTTTCCTCCACTCGCCAACCACAAGAATCATCTGTTCACAGTACGCCGAATGCTTTTAGACGTCCTCAAGGGTCTCTACATATTGCATAAGAATGGTGTTTCGCACCTTAGCCTTACACCCTCGAGTATCTTCTTTAAGGAAGGTGTGGGCTTTGTCATCATCGACTTTGGTCCCCTCTTCTGCACGGCAAAGGAGGCTGCTAGCGGCGGTGACGACGGCGGTCCGATGTATAACGTCCCGTTATGGGTCCTCGAGGACCTCAAGGCGTCACCAGCAAATGCGCAGCACTGCATAGATACCTTCTGCGTCGGGCTGTTAGCTGCTTCTGCGGAACCATCCGTGCTTAAAGAGGCGTGGGACATATTTTCCAAGCGGTCCCGAGAAAATGGTTTGGTGGATGATGTTATCAAGAAGGTTTCGAGGGCTGCAGATCGTTTGTCACGGCCGCTTGTGGATTTTATCTTGAGTGCGCTAACTAGAAAGGCGACTGTGATTAACATGCTGAGTCATCCGTATCTGGCAGATGGTGTGGATAAGAGTGGACTTCTTGAAATAAGGCCGTTAAAGATATCGCAGAAAAGTATGAAAAATATTGTGCATGAAAGGTTTCACTCTCGTGATGAGTCCCGCCTACACGATGTGCTGGGTCAAGACCCGATGGCGGAAAGCGCCTTGCTCAGTAGTATGAACCTAATGGACTCGTTGCCAGATGACGGCCACCTCAGTCCCTCATTCCATGTGGACCCGGATTTGTGCAATCGGTTACCGTTCAAAGACAAGATTATCTGCGGACTGTGTCGTGTAGAGCTGCCGATTGTGTTGTTTATGTGCATGAAATGTGACGCATATCTGCGCTGCGGAAAGTGTTCCCTTAATGATGCGCACAAGGCAGGTCACACAATGCAGCCATTCCTCATTCATACCATTGAAAATCGCGAAGATGGTACGCGTGAGGCCATTCTCCTCCCACCGACCATCATTAATGACACACACCCGCTAGAGGAAATAGAGATGCAGGCAAACCTGCCAGTAGGAGCCCTTACCAAATTCCTTAAGCCGGACACAACTGTTGCTGAACGTTCTCTTGGACGTTTAAAGATGTCAGGGCCGAAGAAACAGAAAAAGAAGGCATTACCAAAAGCCTCTGAGATCGAAGATATTTCATGGGAGGAGGAAGTCAGAAATTGTCGTGAGAATCATTGTCCAGAGTTGTTTCTGTCTCGCCTCAATCTTGGTATCGTACCAACCGAGGTGTATGACCCGCCGCTCACATACGTGGTGAGCGTTGATCTTAGCCACAACAAACTGAAAAGTATTCCACATGAATTGTCCTTTTTGCACCACATTCGGAGTCTTATTATTGCAAACAACGAACTGACGGAACTTCCAGACAGTCTAGGCAACCTCAGTCAGCTTGATCGCCTGGACATAAGTCACAACTTTCTGGAAGATCTTCCACAGACGTTTGTGTACTTGCATCAACTCAGTACTATCGCAATGGACTACAACAATTTTTCTGGCATTCCGGAGAGTATAGTTGAACTTGTCAGTGCCACATCTCCACGACCGATACTCTCCGTGATATATTTAGCAGAGAACCCTCGAATTTCCAGCTTGCCCCCAAAAGAGTTTCTTTCGATGTTCCCCACCTTGAAGCTGGCGCTTGATAATGAACCCACCGTGCACAAAACGTATATAGAAGGAAAATATGAAAAGACTCTGCCCAATGTCAGCATGATGTGGAACAAAATCTACCCTGACCGTATCGTCAATCGCGTTTTCTGTGGCAGTCTTCGTAGTGCACAATCGCAGTTGGTGTACGAAAAGCTTGGAATTATGAGTCTGCTGACGGTTGGTAGGGGTCTTCTCCCCACGCCTCCGATAGGCGGGGAGCACCTGACCATCAACATCGACGACATTGAGGGTGCTGATATTGCCGGTGTCTTTTCAGAGGCGGTAAACTTCATCGACAACAGCGTCAGGAAAAAGAAAGGGTGCCTTGTACACTGTTTTGCAGGTATGTCACGCTCGGCGGCCACCGTGATTGCGTACCTTATGATAAAGCAAAACATGCGTCTCGACGAGGCGTACTGTACCACGAAGCGGGGGCGTCCTGCCATTTACCCCAACCATGGTTTCTTTGCTCAGCTAGTTAAGCTAGACGCAGAGCTCTTTCCGAATCAAAGACTGCTGGATATGGCCTCGATGGAGAGGGATAAGGTGCCCATGGGGTAGCGGTGATGGTGTTTGCGGAAGTTGTATTGGGTGCTATATTTTTGTTCTTCCCCTCCTTCTATTTTTATAGCTCCAAATGTTACGGATTATATTGTAAGCTCATTCCATCGCTGCGGAATGGAAATAGTGAGGAAGGGAAAAGAGGAAGGTGATCCTAATTTTTGTTTGTTTGTTGCTTTCTATCTGCATGTGTCTTTAGCTGCGGTGGTGAATACTGCTCTCTGTTGGTATATGCAGTTGCTCTTCTTAAGAGATGTAAACTAGTTTTGCTGATTTACACGCGTAAGCCAAGCCTGCCGCACACACGCGCACACAAAAGAAGGCAACGTCCGGTTAGTTACGGTGTCCACAGAGGGTGTCACGAAGAAAGGATTACGGGAGGGGGGGGGGGGGGG